TTGTATCATAACAACTATACCAGGTGATGTAAGGTTGTAGAAGGCGGTAATTAACTGCTGATTTGGTGACGTCATGCGCACGCGTCACAAGTCGTACGTCATGTGCCTGTTGGACACGGGTGATTTGGTGACGTCATGCACCAGCTCAACCGCCCATCTTGCCCTGGGATAGTGTGCCAATGACTATACCAGGCTAGGTTGTATAAGGCTAGCTGGCTAACTATAATGGCTGATTTATAATTTATATCAAAAGGTGTTTGATAATAAGTATGATAACAACTAGAGCAGAAGATGTAAGGTCGCATAAGACGGTAACTATAAAGACCAATTTGGTGACGTCACGCTTACTCGTCATACGTCGTGTGTGTGTTGGACACGGCTCATTTGGTGACGTCACACCAGGTGATGTAAGGTTCAAAGTTAGTTAAGATTAAGATGTTTGATAATAGCAGTATAACAACTAGAGCAGGAGATGTAAGGTCGCATAAGGCGCTGACTAACGGCTAATTATTTGGTGACGTCATCACGTGCGCAGGTTGGACAGGTGACCAGTGTGACACGCAGGTGGACCCGTGAATGACAACGACGATAACAATGACGACGACGATAACAACGACGACGACGATAACAATGACGACGACGATAACAATGACGACGACGATAACAACGACGACGACGATAACAATGACGACGACGATAACAATGACGACGACGATAACAATGACGACGACGATAACAATGACGACGACGATAACAATGACGACGATGATAACAATGACGACGATGATAACAATGACGACGATGATAACAATGACGACGACGATAACAATGATGACGATGATAACAATGATGACGACGATAACAATGGCGACGGCGACGTGTGACGCTAGGCGGTGCTTACAGCGTTCCTGTGTAGCCGACGGGACAGTTGCAGCGGTAGGTCATGAAGCCCGTCCACTCGCAGACGCCGCCATTGACGCATGGCTGGTCGTCGGTTATCATCGTCGTCATTGTTATCATCGTCGTCATTGTTATCGTCGTCGTCATTGTTATCGTCGTCGTCGTTGTTATCGTCGTCGTCATTGTTATCATCGTTGTCATTGTTATCGTCGTCGTCATTGTTATCGTCGTCGTCATTGTTATCGTCGTCGTCATTGTTATCGTCGTCGTCATTGTTATCGTCGTCGTCATTGTTATCGTCGTCGTCGTTGTTATCATCGTCGTCATTGTTATCGTCGTCGCCATTGTGGTTGACTTAGTCGACAAAGTCGCTAACGAATTAGTACGCAAAGTATGTGAAGTGTTAGTGCGTGAAGTCACTAACGAATTAATACGCAAAGTATCAGTACACGAAGTCACTAACGAATTAGTACGTGAAGTATTAGTACAAGAGGTGCGTACTTCATTATAGTACACAAAGTGCCTGGAAGTATTAGTATTAGAGGTACGCGAAGCACCAGTACACGAAGTCACTAACGAATTAGTACGCGAAGCACCAGTACACAAAGTCACTAACGAATTAGTACGCGAAGCACCAGTACACGAAGTCACTAACGAATTAGTACGCGAAGCACCAGTACACGAAGTCACTAACGAATTAGTACGGTGGGAAAGTACCTTAGTGCGGCGATCATGCAGTATACGTGTGTCAGTATATCCTCGGGCATAAAGTACATGTAATCGTATGTAAGGGTTATGTAAGTGTATGTAACAAAGTACATGTAATCGTATGTAAGGGTTATGTAAGTGTATGTAACAAAGTACATGTAATCGTATGTAAGGGTTATGTAAGTGTATGTAACAAAGTACATGTAATCGTATGTAAGGGTTATGTAAGTGTATGTAACAAAGTACATGTAATCGTATGTAAGGGTTATGTAAGCTAGTGTATGTAATCGTACAGGTGCGAGACACTGATCGACTACTGCTCACCGAACCCATGCCAGAACGAGGCGACCTGCACAAGCTTTGTCGGTGGCTACGTGTGCGTGTGCGCGCCGGGCTACGAGGGCAGGAACTGTGATCAGATCATCGATAACTGTCTGTCGGACCCGTGCGTTGCGAATTACACGGGTGAGTGTAGGGTCTACGGATGAAGAAATACATAGTTATAAGCTTGGGCCTTGCCTTGGCTTAACCCTGGGCCTTATTTTGACCCTAACCCTAACACTAACCCTAACCCTAACACTAACCCTAATCCTAACCTTAACCCTAAACCTAAACTTGTCCCTAACCATTATCCTAAGTGCAATCTGAATGCTAAACCTAACACGTACTAACCCTAACTTTAACCCCTAACCCTAATCGTAAACCTAATTCTATCCCTATCCCTAACCCTTACCTTGACCCTAATTCTTACCCTAATCCTAACCCTAAACTTAAATTTAATCTTAACCCCTACCCTAACACCTCAACCCTAACCCCTCAATCTTAACCATAAGTCCAGCCTTAATGCTAAACCTAACCCTAACCCCAACCCTAACCCCTCAACCATAAGTCCAGCCCTTAACGCTAAACCTNGGTGGCGGTGGGTGGAGGTGGTACTGGGGTGGGAGGGGTCAGGAAGGCTGCTACGCCGTGGTGGCGGTGGGTGGAGGTGGTACTGGGGTGGGAGGGTCGAGGGAAAGGCTGCTACGCCGTGGTGGCGGTGGGTGGAGGTGGTACTGGGGTGGGAGGGTCGAGGGAAGGCTGCTACGCCGTATGTGTATATAGCAGTATAATTATGGTATATAGTTTGACAGTGGACTAGTGGACAGGTATATAGTGTGAGTATATACCTAGTCGTATATAATAGATGGTATATATAGTAGTGTATAATTGATGGTATATATAGTAGTATATAATAACCATCTATTATATACTACTATATATACCATTATATATAGTAGTATATAATAGATGGTATATATAGTCGTATATAATAGAAGGTATATAGTCGTATTTATTATATAGTAGAATATCGTATATGATAATAAGTATCATAACAACTATACCAGGTGAGGTAAGGTTGTATAAGGCGGTAATTAACTGCTGATTTGGTGACGTCATGCGCACGCGTCATAAGTCGTACGTCATGTGCCTGTTGGACACGGGTGATTTGGTGACGTCATGCACCAGCCCAACCGCCCCTCTTTCCCTGGGATAGTGTGCCAATGACTATACCAGGCTAGGTTGTATAAGGCTAGCTGGCTAACTATAATGGCTGATTTATAATTTATATCAAAAGGTGTTTGATAATAAGTATGATAACAACTAGAGCAGGAGATGTAAGGTTGCATAAGGCGGTATTATAACTATAACGACTGATTTGGTGACGTCACGCTTACTCGTCATACGTCGTGTGTGTGTTGGACACGGCTGATTTGGTGACGTCACGCCAGGTGATGTAAGGTTAAAAGTTAGTTAAGATTAAGGTATTTGATAATAAGTATGATAACA